CCTCGCTCAGATCTGCAGCAGCTCACGCCCAGTGCAGAGAACTAGGAAAAGGGGATGGCAAGGATTGTTTTTTAAATAAGTTCAATTTCCATCCACTTTGAATACCACAATGGAGGCATGGTGACAATGCATTCCGTTTTTGGATTTATGCCACTGTTTGGGTTTAAAGATAGCAGTATTATATTTTAGAATGTAAGAAAAGAAGTTTAAACCGAGAGCCATTAAAATAAATTGCCAAAGCGTCTTTTAAAAAATTAGCTCTGCTTCATTTCATCTGTAGCCTCCAACTTGCTCATTCCCCCTGATTTTGTACATGATCATCTCATCATTTGGAATGCATCCCCGCCTTTGAGTCCCTACTTCTCAATGTTTCTAATTCTAACAACCCTAATCAAGGTTAGTGTGGTTTACCTACCAGGTGTCATACCATTAAAGAAAACCCTCTTCCTCTCCAGGTAACTATCAAATGCCAATAGCTCCTCAGGCAGGTGTGGGATTTCCTACCCACATCCCCTCTCCATGCTGAGATTTTGTCTGGCTTGAGTTTACATGAGTCATTCGTACAGCAGAGCTGCTATGTTCAGAAAACAATATTTTCTTGAAGTCATCTACTGCTTCTGGCCCTGAAAATATTTCTGTTCCCTTTTCCATAAAGATCTATGAGCCTTGGGAGGAGGATAAAGACTTTTTAAAAATTGACAATAATAGTCTTCTCTCATACAGTGCACCCTGAGCACAGTTTCTCCTCCTTCCACTCCTCCTAGTTATCCCCACCTTCTCTCTCCCCCAGATCCACTGCCCCTCCATGTCCTCTTCAGAAAAGAGCAGGCTGCCAAGAGATGACAGCAAAACAGGACAAAATAAGATACAATAAGACAAAGCAAAAGCTTTTATGGCAAGTCTGACCAAGACAACCCAGTGGGAGGAAGAGTCTTAATAGCAGGCAAGAGTCAGAGATACACCTGCTGCCATTGTCAGGAGTCCCACAAGAACACCAAACTCACCATCAGAATCTATATGTAGAGGACCTGGTGCAGGCCCCATGCTTTCCACTGCCACTTCAGTGTCTGTAAGCCCAGATAAGCCCTGCTTAGTTGATTCAGTGGGCGATGCGATTCTTAAAATTTTAAATACTGGTCACTGAAAGAGGAATTGCAACATGAGTCTAAGCTCCCTTGTAACTGATTTGAGAAGGAGAAAGAAATGCCTGCAAATGCAATCCAGAACAGTTTTGTCAAAGGCCCAGTAGGCGCTGTGCAGCCTGAGACAGCTCAGGGCTGAAGATGTATAGCTAAGGCCCAGGATTTGCGAGGAAGTGAAGGGCAAACATATGTGCTCAATTATGTTGACTTGGTGATTACCTTGGCAATGGAGTCCTTCAAGTTTTGGGTGCCTGCATGTTTTTTTTTTCCTTTGGGTGCACTATAGTTTACAGGGGTCAGACATACTTACTGTATGGCTATCTGGAAGACTGCATAGGTCATTCCTACAGATAGCAGGACTTCACCTCTGTCACAGACCATCTTCCTTCATGAAACCATCTCTTCAGCAAGATAATGTTCTCAATGCATGTCTATCTCCTAGAAGCTCTCTGTAGACTTCACCCAACTGACAGGATTGAATCATTGGGATGGGCATTCTGAATCTTGAGTTTTATAGAAGCACAGGGATTTTGTAGTTTAAGGCTGGGCATCTCTTCTCTCTCATCTGTGTGGCGGCAGAGGCATAGACTTCTGCATTCTATAATATTACACTGCTGCTTGCCAGAGTAGGGAGTAATGTCATGTGAAGGAAACTGAGACGACTTGGGTAGAATGTAAGCACCGCGCAGAAGTGAAGTGCTTAGAGCTTTGCATTAGCTAAGCAGAATTTCAGTGAGTTGAGATCAGCAGATTTGCGCGATGTTCTGGTAAGCCACTTCCCTCCTGCAGCCTGCTCATTAATTTTCGGAAGTCTGACAGAATGGCTAAAAGGATGATCAATTTCAAGTGTCACTCCTGGCTTGTTTTTAGCCTTCTGCAAAAGGAGTTCCTGACAAGCAGCCCTGTTAGTGCCCTCAAAATGTCTCTTGGTATTAAATATTGGGAATAAGCTGAAATAATGAAACTAAGATTTTTATGTTTCTGGAACTGTAGATTTAGAAGATGATGAGATTAGGATGTATTAATGACTTGTAGGTGAACCTGAGCACTCAAAGCATCAAGACTTCCACTAATAGACTTGCTTGAAACATGGGGAATGTCCTTGTTCTTGTGGCAACTGACTGTACGACATTGTTACCTCCTAGGAAAACCTCTGGTTCTGCCTTCCTCCTCATCATCTGTTGTTATCTAACATGACAGTTTATTTTTTTGAGATTATAAGAATTTTCTTTTCCCCTTTCCTCCCTCTAACCCTACCATGTATCCCCTTGATCTTTTTCAAATTCATTGCCTCATTTTTCTTTAAATGCTGTTACACGAATGTGTGTGTGTGTGTGTGTGTGTGTGTGTGTGTGTGTGTACACAAATAGCATAACCTGTTTGGTTTATATAAAGTTACTTATATGTATATAGGTAGAAAACTCCTTTTCTTCTTGTGGTGGTCCTTGAGCTGGACCCAGGGGAGTGAAGTTGAAGGTGGCACTGCATTTTCTTCCTTATTTTTTGCTCCCTGTATTTTTATCCACTCAACATTTTTCCTTCCTTGCTAGATGCCCCCTTTCTTTCAAGAGCAATTCCTACCCTTATATCATCAGGGCAATTTATCAGCAAAGTTTACCTGAGGCGGTGTCTATGGCTTCTACTGATGCTGATGTACCATCATTTTATCTTAACATTTGACCAATTGATTTTATTTAGAGTGCTCTTCATGAGAGAAGGGAGTGAAAGGTATCAAGGAGCCCAGTTGTGGAAGTTACATTATAAAATCTGAGAAAGTTCCCATACACGTCCTTGTTGTAATAGGAAGCGGCGGGGCTGCGTCCCCAATACCCCGGCCGCTTGGCTAGCTCATGCCCGAAATAACAACACACAAACTGTATTCATTTAAGAACTGCTTGGCCCCTGAACTCTAGCCTTTACAGGCTAATTCTCGCACCTGGACTAGCCCATTTCTAATGATGTGTGTAAGCACCCCAAGGTGCGCTTACCGGGAAGATTCTAGCCTACATCCATCTTCATCGCGTGTGCCTCAGAGAGCAGAGCTATCGCGTCTACCCGGGAGAGCTGAGCATGGCGTCTGTGCTCCAGCAGAGCTGTCCGGTCTCTCCGGAAGCAGAGCAGAGTCTGACCTCACTTCCTCTTCCGCCCAGAATCCTATTCTGTTTACTCCTCCCATCTATGTTCCAAGCCATGAGGCCAAGCAGCTGGTTTATTATAACTTAACCAATGAAATCAACAGATTGATATATGACACTCCCACATCACGTCCTTTAGATACAAATCACACTATGTGGCTCTGTGTACCAATAAATGACAGCAGAGATGAACAACTGCCGGCAGAGAGTTAGATGGTTCAAGTACACGACAGAAGCAGCTAAGGACCGGGGAAGACTAGGAGACTATGCAGCTATTCAACCCCACACATACTTCTACCCTTCGGGAATGTGAAGACATATGTAATTGTTGATTTGCTATTAATATTTAAAAAGTTGTCCTGACAGGAGTTGTGTGGGCGAGAGGAAAAAAGAAAAAAAAACTATGAGAGCGAAAGTAAAGGAGAGAAAAAGAACAGCCATCTGCGGTCTTGGGTACTGTTGCAGCTTGTTTTGTGACTTCTGCCATAAACACTATAAAATACCGGAGACAGAATGCCTTACTTTGGTCACACCTGGGAAATTTAATGTTACCACAGTGGTCTGAGAAGTTTGAACACAACCACTTTTCTAGGCGAGTGTTTACCCACTCAATTAAAACTTGATAACTCATCAGAATGCTAAGCGCTGAACTAAGACTGGAAACAATAAACTGACAAATTAAAGAGCATCACCTGGTGCTGTGATCCACAGTACTATTCATTTGTAATGCTAATTGGGCTGGAATCTGCCTATACCCAATCCCAAGCTGCATTCTATTTGCTCTTTTTATTGTCTGTGAGAAGAGCCAATGCTGGACCCAGGAATCATCATATCTTAGCTTCCAAAGTGATGGGAATCTTTTCTACCCCCCATACCTTTAAGAAAGCATCAAAGATGAAAAAATAACATTTTTTTATGGTGATGATTCTTAACAAGCCATGCAAAGTCCTCAAAAGTATTTTGCTTAAAATAGTGGTATTTGGAAGGATTAAGGGTAATAGGCCAGTTCTATGGGCTATCTGAGTCTATTAGAAGCAAAATAATTTGCAAAAGGCATTTAAAATCACAGCCTATGTTTTATATGCACTAATAGCTTGTTGTTTCATAATGTGTTTTTCTAATTTTGTTTTCTGAAATGTTTTTTCTCTCTGCATGAGTTGTTTTTACTTCTTTAACCAGTTAAGAATCATTTCCTGTGCCTTAATAGAGCTGTCAGGCTGTTTACGATCATCTTGGCTTTCATCTCTGCCAGGAATAGATGCACAGAAAGAAGGGTGGAAGACCTGTGTGATGGGGCACTCCCCCTGTGGATGCAGAGTGACTGACTTAGTCAAGTGGAAATGCATGTCAGAATCTGTGATGGGGGCTTGGGAGCACACAGTCGTCGAGCCTGAACCCTTGACTAGTGTTGGTGTTAAAGGGCATGTGCACATCTATTCAGATCTACTGCTCAGATACATTCCTTCGTGGAGGGCCTCAGATCTCAGAGGCCCTTGTGTCTTTCAACTTTAAGTTGGAATAGCCTCAAAGAGCTCACAAGTCATTTCATGTTACTCATAATGAGTTTCCTCAGCCTGTTGTTTGGTACCTTGGAAATGAGCTGTTTGCTAAGCTTTCTTGAGAGTACCAAGTATTCTCTGTTCCTCGGATTCACTGCCTTTATGAAAAGTGTGCGTTGCAGCTTTGTCTTGACCACCTAGACTCATCAAAATGGCAATCTTGCTTGCTTTGGCAGCATATATATTAAATTGATATGATATAGAGAAGATTAGCATGGCCCCTGCACAAGGATGACGTGCAAATCCGTGAAATGTTCCATATTTTTAAAAAAAAAATGACAATCTGGACATTATAATTAAGTCAAAGGTAGATTTTTTTAAAAGAATGCATTTATTTTTATGTGTGCGAATGTCTTGTCTGCATATATATCTGTGAAACACATACATGCAGTGCCCATGGAGGCCAGAAGAGGACGTTAGGTCATTTGAGACTGAAGTCACAGTAGTGAGCCTTCATGTGGGTGCTGGGAATCCAATCTAGGTCCTCTGAACAGCAACTAGTATATTTAACCATGGAGTCATGTCTCCAGCCCACACTATGAGTGTTGAGATTGAGGCAGGATTTGTAAACTCTCAAGGGTCAGGGTGTGAGCTCTGGATAGCACTGACTTGCCACTGTGGCATGGTGGATGCTCTACTCCGCCTCTTGGGGAGCTGGGGCTGTGCATGGAACCTGCAATTTTCCAGGCTTGAGACTGCTACCGAGTGACCTCACTCACTTCAATTTCTTGAGCTCTGTCTGTCATGCCTGCTTGCCCAGAGGGCTCTCTTTTCTATGTCTTTCTAGCTTCCCATTCATGGGTGCAGTCCGTGTCATGGCGACAGCAGTTGCCCTTGGTCCTTTGCCCTCTGGCTATAGCTCTGGGTCTTGTTACTTCACACACGTCTTCTCCATCTGGTTTTAGGAAGCCTCAGTGCCATGCTCAGGGTATGTACATCTCAGAGTAAGACAGCTGGGAGAACTCAGTCACCCAGTGAATGTCATGTCTTAAGGAGGGAATTTTCAGCCAGGCTTTACTTCGTGGCTTCCTGTTTTTCCTGACTGACCACCACTCTCCTGCTCTGTGTTTCACTTATCCTCATGTGCTCAAGTGAGACCAGCATTACATGTTAGACATGAGTTTACCTTGAGCAACCCTAGGCCATGAATGTTGAAGCCAGGGCAACATCAAGGGGATGAACAGGAGGGAAGAATGATCATAATTAATCTGCTACCAATACACCTCTGTGGGAAGGTGATAAAGGAAGAATGGGCTCGGGAGAAGCAGGTGTAAGTCTCCTTCAAGGCTTGCATGAGCGGAAAACTATTACCTTGGCTTATTGCTTCTGACACTGGATGCTTTCCTCTTTGAATGCCTCTTCTCCCATTTTCCCCCTTGCCAGCCTTAGAAAACCACTTTCCTTAACAACACTGAATTCAACACAGCTATGTTACTTTGGCAGCAAAGCAATCACACAGCCCCAGTATGTGTGGACATGTGTATTATTCATCCCTGGTCGATCTTTCTGTGAACAGTGCATTTAAACCCAATACACACAAGTCCATAGCAGTTGCTTTGTCGCACTTTTGTTTAGGTCGCTACTGTTTTCTGTAAAGTCTCTAATTAATTTTCAGATCCTTAGCAGCCTCTACAGTCCCTCTCATCACCCCTGCATGTTTAGAGTCAGTGGGATATTTTATATTTTTTGGTTGTGAGCCTAGCCTTTAACTGCTGAGCCATCTCTCCAGCCCCAGCGGGATATTAAATACTTCCCGACAGTTTGTGTTCTGCGCCCCTAACCGACTTCCAACCTGTGGCACCTTGAAATCCTGTTCTTTGGAATCTTTCTTTCTATCAGCGTAGAAAACTTTATAATTAAGTGGAGCGATTATAACAGTCTCATAAAAAAAAAATCCTTTTTCAAGTCTTGTGCCCATCCCCCTCAACCCTCATCATGACCTCGTGGTGTATGCCTGGCTAGCCTGGGGTTGCCTAGAGGCTGGCCAGCCTCTGCCTACCGAGTGCTGGGGTCAGAAGTGTGTGCCATCATGTTCGGAATCCCTTGTATTCTATTTTTATACAATGACTTGCAAAGCGTCTAAGGGCATATGGCCTGAGGGTTTATGTTTGGGCAGCACAGTTTTCAATAACTGTGACATAATTCATAACACAGGCTGCAGACTTCTGTGCAGCTCCTGTTTGTGCAGTTTTATCCTTGTCTTCCAGCGTCTGCTTTATTTCTTCCTTGCTTTTATCTGTTCTCTAAGCTGTGTGAGCGAGAGTTCAATGCTTCCTCTTCAGAGGACACTGAAAGACAGGCAGATGAGAATTCGGGGGAGTCTTTGGCTCTTTGCATTTTCTACTCGTGCAGTCAACTTCCCATCAGTTCAGCCTTCTGATTCACATAGAACATTAGAGACAGAAACCAGCCTCATCCCTTCAGGATGGAACTGGACTGACGTGTGCCCTGCATGCCTGGGGACAAATGCTTGTCTCTGGTTGTGAAGGGTTTTTAAGTTTTCTCAGCAGTAGGACTTTTTAAGTTTTTACTTAGAAACATAACTAGTTCTCTCTCTCTCTCTCTCTCTCTCTCTCTCTCTCTCTCTCTCTCTCTCTCTCTCTCTCACTGTGTGTGCAGCTAAGGTGAGTCCAGCAGGCATCTAAAGACACAACTACCCTTTGCCTTGTTTTGGGAAGTAGTAGAGGTTCCCTCTGTGAATGGTATACTTGACACCTTTACAAAGCATGGAGAAACGGTCTTTGTAGTCACGGGATGTGTATTTAAATGAAAATGGAACTTTCTTACAGAGAATAGGGAGAGCATTTCTCCAGATATAAAATGTTCAGTGAGCTACACTGTAACAGAATTCCTCTATATAACTAGATAGCATTCTCCCTGTGCATATCAATCTGCACCCAAACTTCCCTTTTTAATAGTGTACAAAATAACAGGCTTTCTTCCGTTACTCAGACTTACCCCCTCTTTTCCTTCTTTCGTGCCTTAAAGACCTCTTCACAGCAGAGAGAATATATGATACTGTCTGTTGGAAACAGCTCATTTCACTTGATCTTAGGTACTTCTCCAGCTCTATTATTTATTTCCTATAAGTTACATTATTTTATTCTTTTAAAAAATATTTATTTACTTATTATGTATACAGTATTCTGTCTGTGTATATGCCTGCAGGCCAGAAGAGGGCACCAGACCCCATTACAGATGGTTGTGAGCCACCATATGATTGCTGGGAATTGAACTCAGGACCTTTGAAAGAGCAGGCAATGCTTTTAACCTCTGAGCCATCTCTCCAGCCCACATTATTTTATTCTTAGTGGCCAAATAATACTCCATTGTGCATTTATATGTCTTTAACCATTCAACTGTTGACAGGGACCTATGAAGAGTCAATGACTTTGTTTTTACAAATAATGCCACAATAAATGGGATATCAGGTGTGGCTAGTATGTGTTAACTTTGGTTTTTCAGGTGTACACCAAAGTCTGGTGTAGCTAGGTTATATGATAAACACGCTTTTAATTTTTGAGAAAACACCTTAGTGGTTTCCATAGTGGCTGTATCAAGTTTCATTCCCACCTACAGATACAGAGTTCTTTTTTCTGGTGCATTCTTGCCAGCATTGGTATTTCTTGTTTTCTTGGTAATAGCTATTCCATTTAGATGAGAAGGAGGTTTGATTTGCATTTCCATGAGGGCTAAAGATGTTGAAAATCTTTTCATATGTTTATTGGCCATTGCTGTTTCTTCTGGCAAGTATGTCTCAATGTATGAATGGGGGGTGCATATTAAAATATAACAGAGAGAAACAAAAAAGAATATATTAAAATGAGTTTTATTAAATTGGCTTAATTAAATGATGTATATATTAAGTATCATATCTGAAACATTTTGTAATTCTGAAATGGTAGACGAATGTGATTCATAAAACTTAATGAAAAATGAAATAAATAAAATGTGAAATTTCTCCCTAACTCACCCAGATTGACAATATATTATAAAAATAGTGAGACGGGCATTTTTCTGTTGTTCTAACTATGGCTGATATTACACAACAGTAAATCGCCAAATAAAACTCAGCTGTTACTCTTATTTCTCCCACAAGATGCCTGTCAGCTGCATTACAACCCATGTCTCATACTTCACTTCTCTCATAGGCAGCTATAAAATCTTTCCTTGGGAGAGGGCACCCCATAAATGTGAAATATTGTCATATGTGGTAGATATTGGGAAGGACATGCCTGCCCAGTAGCATAGATCCCTAACCCCAAATGTTGAGAATTTCCAATTTTCCTGAACATTTTCAAGGAAAGCTTGGTGATAAAAAAGTAATTCAGCAACAGCTCTGTCTTGAAATGTGGAGTCCTGAGGTCCCTTCCCTGCGAGGCCTGGAAGGGACGCCTCGTCCTCTCATCAGACTGTGTACTGTGAGTAGCTGCCAGAGAGAGGACATCCGTGGGGAGCTCCCAAAAGGACTAATGCCTAACCCTCCCCTTGCAACGACTTCCAAATTTGAGCTGAGATCGTGAAAGTCCACACGCGATGATAGAATGAAGATTCACTTCTGGAACAGGTGCAGACATATTCATCTCTAAAACCCGTGATATATTGTTCTACATGGCAAATGGAATGATACAGATGTAAACTCAGGATCCCAGGATGAGGAGACTACCTGGGTTATCTGAACTGGTACACTGTTATGTGGGTCCTTACGAGAGGGATGCAAGAGGGTCAGAGCAGTCTAAGTGGTGTGACGGGATCAAGGAACAAAGAATTCAGGATACCTCCAGAAGCTGAAAATGTGAAGTTCTCCCCCAGGGTCTGTAATCATCATCACTACTACACAGCACTGCTGGTATGTCCACAGAAGCTTTAGGGTGTGTGTGTGTGCGTGTGTGTGTGTGTGTGTGTGTGTGTGTGCGTGCGCTCATATGTGTGTGTGTGTGTGATTGGGGGTCTTCTATTTCTGAGCTATAGCCATAGCCCCTGCTACAGACCTCTGATTTTTCTAAGTGTAAGATAATAAATTCTGAGTATCCCAAGCACTGTATGTGATACTTGTCACAGTACTAATAGGAAATTGAAATTCCAGGTTCTGGGTTCCAGGGTTCCATTTGATGGCACCCTTCATGCTCCTTTATATAGTGCTGTTCAGTGATTTCCATAAGCTCAGCGGGAGGAATAATAAAGGCAGCGCAGCTCCAGAGAGAAAGGCTGCATGTGACTTTTAATGAACTCAAGGGATGTTTCTGTATTGGTTCATTTATTCTAA